GGCAAGGCACTTCAGTTCAGTGTCCAGCTGTGCTGGGCTTCATCCAAGTGAGTTCATGTCAGGTACCGTGAGGTTACCAAGACAGAACACACGGCCCCACCCTGGGGAGCTTATAATCCAGGAAACAGGCTCAGAAAACAAGACCAAAAACCACTTAGTGTAGGGTGAGTAGTTCAGACTCTTAAGGGGGCAGGTTATTTTAGTAACTGGGGAAGCAGATGGGAGCATGAAGGTAGGCTGGGGCAGTCCCAGAAGGCTTCCTGGAGGAGGTAGGTTTTGATTCAGGCTTTGAAAGGTGTGAACAATTGAAGAGCTGGGAGGAGGATGAGATGAGGGGATGCTGAGCACAGGGTGCCCAAGCCAAGGCACGGGAGTGAGAAGAAAGGATGAGGAGTGGGACCCGTGTGTGGACCTCGTCTTAACAAGTGGCCTTTTCCCTCCCCATAACCCAGCTCTGGAAAACCTGAGACATGACCCAGAAGCATCAGTGTGCATCTCTGCAGCCCAGGCCCAGGACCACATCCTGGCCAGCTGCTGGAGGAACTCCTGGCCACTGCCACACAGGGACTCATGGGTGTGCGACCCGGCTACCACGCACCGCTGGAGCCCTAGCTGTGAGAACCTGCCCACTTCCCACCAGCGGCGCTCCTGGATCATGCAAGCACTGGGCTCCTGGAAGATGTCCTTGAAGCAGTGATGTCCCCAAGCCCCCAGCCCTCCTCAGGGGTAGCCACGGTCCCAGCCATGCTCACTATAAATGCCACGTGGCTTACCTCTCCCCGCTGAGTGTTTCCTCATGGGAGATGCCCCGGGGTCTGGGGCAGCCATCGCTCTGTGCGACAGATCTGTGAGATGAGCACGGCTTTCACTGCTGATTCAGCATTTACAGACTCACATAAATTGTTTTGTCCACGTTTTACAAGTGGGGAAGCTGAGGCTCAGAGAGGTGAAGTGACTTGCTCAAGGTCACACAGTAAGTCTGCTGGATGTCTCAGTTTCCCCTCCCCCAGGGGGAGAGTATAAAAACAAAAGGAGATGATGATTTGGGTGGCCTTTAGGGGAGGAAAAGAAGAGACTCCCCCAGCCCATGATATCATGCATATCCAGAACCCCGATCTGAGTCCCACCCTTGGGTCGTCGCCCAGAGATTGTCCGCCACTCATTTGGGCCACATTTATTGAGCACCTAACCTGGGCCAGGCCTGCTCTGGGTGCTGGAGACACAGACACGAACAAGATGCAGCCCCAGGCCCTGGGCAGTTCATGGTCTGATGCAGTGGTTCTCATCTGGGGGTGCCGTTGACCCCCCAGGGAATATCTGGCAACGTCTGGACACATTTTTGGTTGTTACAACTTGGGGAAGGAGATGCTATTGGCATCTAGTGGGTAGAGATGCTGCTAAACATCCTTCAGTGCGCAGGGCAGTCCCCGCAGTGAAGAATTATCCATCCCGAATTGTCAAAACTGCCAGGCTGAGAAACTCTGGTCTGATGGAAGTATTGGGGACATATAAAGACCCCAGCAGGTCAGTGCTGAGATGAAGGGAAGTGTGGGGGCTGTGAAGTCCAGAGGAGGTACATAGACCAGCTGGGAGGTGGGGTGTCAGGGAAGGCTTCCCAGAGATGAGACCCCCTTCCAGGGTTTGGAGGGAGGACCACATGGTGGGAGTGTATGGAGGAGAGCAGAGCACATGGGACCGAGACACAGCTGCACATCCATAGGAGCAACAGAGCCTAGTGGGAGGGGAAGAGGGGGATGGGCTGGGTCTCTATGGCCTTGGAGGCTGTGTTAAGGAGGGAGACTTCATCCAGAGGGCAGCGGAAGGCAGTGGGGTGTTCAGCAGGGGAGAGACGTGGGCAGATGTCTGCTCTAGAAAGCTCCCTCCTTGTGGGGATACAGGAACCCCCAGGCACTGCTGGTGGGAGGGTAGATGGGTGCAGCCATTCTGGGCAGGATCTGTCTCTATTCAGTCATGTTAAGTTGATGCATACCCGTGACCCAGCATTTCCACTCATGGGCACTCAGCTTGGGGAGATCTTCCCAGAGGTCCGTAAAGAGAGATGCATGAGGAAGTCTATCACAGCGTTATTTGTGGTGCCTGGGAGAGGAGGCAGCCTGGGTATCCATCCTCGGGAGCGAATGGGCGCCCGGGAGCCCCACGCAACAGTTAGAGGCAGTGGGGTACATATAGCACCGTGGATGGGACAAAAACCTAGTGTTGATTGAAAAAGTATATCAAAAAGAATTCACATTTTGCAAGAACACTTACAAACTGAAAACACATTAGAGTGGTGGGAGGGGTAGGGAGGAGGGCTCTGGGGCATAAAAGGGAGTAAATGAAAAAAGAGAGCTGCAGAGAGCTCACTGTGGTGGAGTGAAAGGGCTGGGGGGGTGGGGTGGGGGACGAGCACAGGCAGGGACACATGGCTGGAAGCCTCGGAGAGGAACAGCGGCCTGGGCTGCAGTGCAGGATGGAGAGGGTGACCAGATCTGTGGGAGACTGAGGCAGGAGAGCTTTCAGAACCTGGCGGTGGACAGGATGGAGGAAGAGGAAGGAGAGCGAGAAGTCAAGGAGGACGCCCCGGTTTCTGACGGATTCTGGGTCAATGGTGTTCCCCCAATGGGTGGTCCCTCAGGACCAGGAGCATGTTCAGGGAGGGAAGAGTACAGTCTGGACGTGGTGAGCTTGAGGGGCTGTGCGCCATGCCAGTGGAGACATCCACCAGGTGGCTGGCTGCACAGGGGTGGAGCTCAGCAGAGGGGTCTGAGGTGGAAACAGATCTGGGATTCATCCGTGTACAGGGGTGAGGTGAGATTCTCGGGGCGAATGTGTAGAGTGGGAAGAGACATAAGCCTGAGCAGCACCTACATTCAAGCTCCTGCTGGGGATGAGGAACCCATGAAGTTGACCACACAATCACCCTCCAATAAATGGTAGGCCAAGGCCATCGGGATTCTGGGCCTGAGAGAAAGTGGGAAATGCGAGAGGTCCTTTTGCATAAGCTTTTCCTTTGCCAAGAACGGTCACAAGCATTGCCTCCTTTGAGTCTCACAGTAGCCATACGGAGTTATGGAGAAGGCAGGCCGGCTTCATTGCCCACATTCTGCAGATGAGAATAGGGCTCAAGGATGGGTGAGCCTTGTCAAAGGTCACACCAGAGTCCCAAAGGAATAGGGCTCAAGGATGGGTGAGCCTTGTCAAAGGTCACACCAGAGTCCCAAAGCCCTCCCAACTCCCATGCCAGAGCCCTTTCCACCCAGAGACACTACTGCTTTCATTGGCCAGAACCCAAGCCTGGGGTGGCCTTGACACATGACAACAGAGTTATTGGTCAAGGCCCCTGAGCAGTCTCGAGTTGGAAGGGTCAAAGGGCACTGGGCAAGTCACTTCCCTTCTCTGAGCCTCCCCTGTCATTACCTGTAAAATAGGTTCTCACCTCACAGGGTTTTATAGGAATCAAATGAAAAAATGGTTTGTAAGCTCTACTCAAGAAGTGAAAAGATAACGAAGAGGAGAATAAGATCGGGAGCCGCTAGGGAGTGGGTCAAGGAGGCAGTGTGGAGAGGAGGTCTGGATTTGGAGGGAAGGGAGTGCTCGGACCAGGTTTTCTGCTGGGTGTGGCAAGTTAGAAGGGAAAAGGCAGTCCTGGCTCTGGAGGGCTCACAGCCCCTCATGTGTCACTTTTCGCCCTGCTGTCTCTCTCATCCCCGTATCAAATGACCAAGCCTGCCAGCTCTACTGCTGGGCTTCAGAGCTCGTCTCTCCCCTGGTCTCTCACAGGCTTGTCAATCTCTTAACCGAGACTCCTGCATCAATCCTTCACCTGGCAACCCCACCCTTCCTAAGACAAATTTGCCCTTAGCTCTATCAGCGGCTCACTAGCCTCCACAAGATAAAGGGCTAAGGGGTAGTCAGGCCCTCTGGCCCCCACCCACCTTGCTGGCCTTCCCTCTTAACTCCTGCAGTCCCCAGCACGTGGGGCTGTTGCCCACCTCCACTCCTCTCTGCACACTGGCTCCCACTACCTAAAATGCTTAATGTCCCTCCAGCCCCCATCCATCTGCCTCATCCTTCTCATCTCTGCTGTCAGCTCTGCATCACCACCTCTGTGGACCCTTCCTGAATCCCCCAGGTAGCACCCACTCCTCGGTGCCTCCACTGTGCAGACCTCTGACCAGCCCGGTTTAGATTGGTCTGCTGCCTGTCTTTTCTTCTAGAACAGACTGTGGGCTCCCTGAGGCTGTAACACCCAACACAGGGCCCAAGAGCCACGTGCTGGGTAACCCAGCGGCTGCAGGAGGGCACACCTGGCCTGGAGACCTTGTTTCCATCTCAGCTGTGGAGGGTAGGGGGTCATCCACATCAGAAATAGACATGTCTGATCACATCACCCCTTTCCTCGAGACTCTCCAAAAGGTCCCACACTGCGGAAAACCCAAGTCCTGGGAATCACGGCCCATTATCGATACCTCCCCTCACTTTCTACTGGCCCTCTCTCCTGCTCCAGCCCACCCCAACCCCAGCCCCCTCCCTAGGCTGCGGCCGCCGACACCCCTGGCCACCCCAGTCCTCCTCCTCCGCGTGAACGCCTGTCCACCGGGTTTAAACTTTCCTCCCACAGCTCCTGCTCCCACCTGACACGCTCTTACGTGTTGTTTGTGTATTGTCTGTCTCCCCAGGACCTTGGCACCTCCCAGAGGGCGAGGATGTTACCTGCTCTGCCCACCACTGTGTACCCATGACTACAACTGGCCTGGGACACACAAAGAGCTTAGGAAATACGTGTTAACTGGCTGAACAAATGAAGTGACCGTGGGGCACGTGGGCGCTGAATGTATTCAACCCCCAAGAAAAAGCAAGGGGGCGGGGCTTCGGCAAGCCCGGGGCGGGGCTCGCAGGGGAGGGGTGGAGCCGCGCCCGCTTGGTGCCCAGGCCCGCGGAACTCGAGGCGCGCGGGACGGCGCCGCCCGGAGGATTGAGCGGGCGCCCGCGCCGCCGGAAGTTGCCGCGCGGTTCTCCGGACCGTGGCGGGAGGGCCGAGGGGCCGCCATGGAGCGGCTGGAGCCGGACGCCGCCGCCGACGAGGCCATGGACTCGTTCCTGGAGAAGTTCCGGAGCCAGCCGTACCGCGGCGGCTTCCGCGAGGACCGGTGGGAGGAGGTGGGCGGTCGGAGCGCCGCACGTGCGAGCCCGCGAGAGGCGTTCCCCGGGAGCGCGGGCAGCGGGCCGCAGGGGCCGAGGGTCGTAGGCGGCCGGGACCTTCGAGAGTCGGGTTGTGGAGTGGACAGGCCCTGGTTGCGCCCCTTCCCGCGCTGACCCCGGGGCGCGTACTTGCGGAGCCGTCCCGCGCTTGTCGAGCGGCCCTGACCAGAGCAGGGGCGGGCGGAGACGGGGCGGGGCGGGTCAGTGCGGGAGCGAGGGCGACGGGGCGGGCGGCCTGAAGGGGTCGTCAGAGGGGCCCGTTCTCCTGCGCTCCTGCCGCGGCCGGGAGCCTGAGGCCTGGCTGGACGGAGAGCCAGTCACGACGAGTAAGAAAACTGCTAGACGGGCCTGGGATTGGGTCTGCTGCGGGGAAAGTCCTGTTCAGTTTTCTCTTAATCTCCAGGAATTTGAAAAGATCCCCCTGTTTATGAAGGAAGCGCCGTCAGAAATTGATCCCAAGGAGAATCCTGACCTGGCTTGCCTCCAGTCGATTATTTTTGATGAAGAGCGGTCTCCGGAAGGTATCTTCCGTGACTCTTGACATTTGTTTCGTGTCTCCGTCCAGTTGAGGTAGTGAGTCAGAAAGATTCTGATTGATGATGAGTAGTTAGGCTGAGCTCAGGTCGCGATGTACTCCACCTGTGCCCCTTTGGATACCTGCTAAATGCCAGGCACTGGGCATACGGGCGTGAAGGAGACTGCCTTCGAAGGTCGCGCTTCGGTGGGCAGCCACATTGTCCAAAAGAATCAGGACAAAGGTGTGTGTGATAAGTGCTGACATGGAGCTATACACTGGGTGCCCACACCGAACGGGGGAGGTGGGAGTGCGCTCACAGTAGATCGGAAATTTGAACTGAATCTTAACAATTTTGTAGGTTCTTACTAGGGTGAGGAGGGGAATTTGCATTCTAGGGAATAAAACAACATAAACAAACGCAGAAGTGTAATTTCCCCCCATTTCTTCAGTAATTTAAAAAAACGTTCTTCAAGAGCGAGGATAAATATACTTTTTTCCTTTGTGCTTCTGTTTTTGTGTGTAAGCACTTAATAATCTACCTTGTAAGGTATTTGGAATTGATTATGGCATTAAGTACGCGTGACTTTGTTTCTCCATGTTGATACTCAGTTTTATAGCATTAATTTTTGAGTTTTCTGCCCCTATTGGTTTCTTCTATTTGATTTATCATATGACATTGCATGATTTAGAGGATTTTTAATGAGCCTTTTAAAAAATAGGAATAGTGATTATTTCTTCTCTTCTTTGCAGAACAGGCCAAGACCTATAAAGATGAGGGCAATGATTACTTTAAAGAAAAAGACTATAAAAAAGCTGTGGTTTCATACACTGAAGGATTAAAGAAGAAATGTGCAGACCATGATTTGAATGCTGTTCTTTATACCAACCGGGCAGCAGCACAATACTATCTGGGTAATTTATTCCCTTACTTAGTGCTTTCTAAAGAATTAATTTGTGATAAAAGCCATTATGATGGCTAGTGGAGGGTTTGAGAGTGTCAGAGGAGGAGCTGCTGATCCCAGAACCTAGGATGGTTTACTCTACTTGAACTCTGATCTTCCAGGTAGACTTGGTGAAAAGGGAAACCAGATAGATGGTGTAATTCTTACTATCCAAACCAAATGCGTGACATCAACTACCTTCATACGTGAGTTGGTGTGATCTGGGATTTTTGAGCCCAAATGCTTCTACTCTCTCAAAAAATTTTTTTCTGGCCTTTTTACCCTCTTCTGAAGGATGCTAGAAAAATTTAAGATCTTTGTGTGAGAGAAACTAAATTAATTAAGGGAGAATTTCTCAAAGAGTATTCTATGGGACCCTTGAAGTAAAAAATATTATTTGGACAAGTAAGTTTGGAAAGTGCTGCTGCTTTGTTGGAGGTTTGCAGCACACATTAGTATGTTCAGAACACTGGGATGACCTACAGCAAAGAACTTTACCCTGTGATTCTCAAGTTTTGTAAGCCTCCTTTTCAAGTAACACTTATTAACATGCAGGACTGTTCTGCAGATGTGACTTTGGGAAACACTGGTTATTTGGGTGACATTACTGGTGACTAGTCTTCGTCATGTTAGACCCTTGTTTCTTATCAGAGAGTTTAGAGAGGACCTGGGAATGACCTCAGGCATTTCTGAGGGGCTGGTAGGGAATGAGCCTTGCAGTCTAGCTGGGGTGAGTCTGTTGGGACTTGTCACTATTTGAGCAGACTTTTTCCTCAACCATAGTCTGCTCCAACTGTTTTCTCCTTTAGCCTGTTTTGTCATAAAATTCTAAAAAGTAAGAGTGGTAAAGGACTTTAGAAATTATTTGGGCCGACCAAGCCCCTCATTTTACGTAAGTCCAGAGAGGGACCCTTTGGTTAGTGCCAGAACCTGGACTAGAAACCCAGCCTTCTGACTTCTGGAGGAATACATTTTCTTCATTCAGCAGACAGACTGAGTTGTTCTGTGCTAGGCACTGGCATCACAGAGATGAGTAAGACCTGACCTTTCCCCAAAGGAGTTTTATTCATTTACTTATTCGGTCAGTAAATATATATAAAGCACTTACGTGTGCTAGGCACTGTACTGTGAACAAAAGCTCCATAGTTCCTTTCCTTGGGGAACTTAAAGAATGTCATGTATAGGGCTAATAAGACCAAAAGCACCTTCCAAGAAAAGCAGTGAGTGTGCAATACCAGAGGAGCAGATGCATCATAATCAGAGCCTTTCCTTAAATAAGTCACTGGTATGGCTTAAAAAGCACTTTCACATTTGTTATTCTTCTTGACCTCGTAGCAACTGTGTAAGGTAAATGAGGTTGACAGCTTTACCCCTAGTCAGCAGAGTAAGAAACTAGTAAAATGTAATAAATGTAGGAAAATGAATTGTCTCATGGTGCACAGTGCTAGGATTAGGATGCAGAGTCGGGTTTGATTCAAAGTGCACTAAATGGGAGACACCTTTCCCCACATTTCCAGAGGTACTTGGTGCTGTCAGTTCCTTAGTCCTGAGTACTCTGTAGGTTCTGCAGTACAGTTCGGTAGCTTTGGGGCTTTCTCTCTGCTGGCTTAGAGTTCAGTTTTCTCAAGCCTGGTTAGTCATTTAACCTTTGTCCTTTTGTTTTCCAGCTTTAAAGTGTTCTGTGTTCTTCTCATTCTTGTCTCTGGGTTTAGGGCTTTTTTGAGGAGGGGAAAGAGGATGGTGGTGGGGTTGAGTTAAATGCATGTGTTCAGTCTTTCGCCTTTAACCAGAAGTCTTTGGATCTCTTTTATATGCAATTTTTTCCATAGTTAAGATCATACCGTTCATCCAGTTTTGTATTCACTTCTTTTCACTTAATTTTATAACATAAATAAATATATAATATTTTATATTATAAATAATTATAAATAATTTCACTTGTCATTAAAATTGTGAATACTATTTTAATAGCTACATAAAGTTGCATCATATGGACATACCAGTGTTTACACTATTTGCTTTAACATTCTGTACATTGTTGGGTATATAGCTGCTTTTAGGTTTTTTTTTGTGTGTGTGTGTGTGAGGAAGATCAGCCCTGAGCTAACATCTGCCAATCCTCCTCTTTTTGCTGAGGAAGATTGGCCCTGGGCTGACATCTGTGCCCATCTTCCTCCACTTTATATGGGACGCCGCCACAGCGTGTCTTGACAAGCGGTGCCTTGGTGCGTGCCCGGGATCCGAACCCCAGGCTGCCGCAGTGGAGCGCGCGCACTTAACCACTATGCCACTGGGCCGGCCCCTAGGTTTTTTCAAATAATGCAAAAATAAACAAAGTTAGTGACAAAGTTTTTCCAATAATTCTGATTATTCTTAGGCTAATGCAGGATTTGGCAAACTGTGGCTCACAGGCCACATGTGGATCCCTGGCCTCCTCTGAGCTAAAAATTTTCTTTACATTTTTAAAGGATTGTAAAACTAACAAAGAAGAATGTGTAACAGACCATATGTGGCATGTAAATCCTAAAATATTTACTATATGGCCCTTCATAGAAAAATTTTGCTGACCCCTGGGCTAGAGTGTTAGAAGTGAAATTAATAGGTAAATACCAAACTGTTAAGTAATATTTACAGTATAAACTAGAAGGTGAAAGTCTACCTCATGCCCTACTAGTTTGGATAACCGGTATGTATGAATGCATGCCTTTTTAAAATGCACTTGCAAATATGTGTGTTTGTATATATATGTCGGTATATTTAGATTGGTTTGTTTGTACAAAAATGGACTTCTCTACACATTGAGCCACCACTTCAAATAGTATAGCAAAGACATCCTATCACGCCTTTTACATGCAGATCCGTCTTGCTCTTTTTAATGGCTGCATAGTATTCGATAGTATGAATTTACCATAATTTGTTTAATCGTTACTGAATTGAGGATATTTAGGTTATCTCCAGCTTTTTGCAGTTAAAAGTAATGCTACAATTCACATGCTTTTAAATTTGTGCAAGTATTTTTAAGGATAAATTTTTAGAAGAATATTGTTGGGTCAAAGTGTACGTACAAAGTGCATACTAATTTGCTCTCTAATGTATTCTTAGAGTGCCCTTCTTCCATATCCTCACCAATACTGGATGTTATCTGTCTTTAATTTTTACCAATTTCATGTGATGTTGAGCATCTTTTCATGTGCTTACTAGCCATTTATAGTTGTTCTGTGCATTGCCTGATGTTATAATGTTATATTTCTAAGGCTCTTGATGAGTACAACCAAATTTTTGTCTAAAAACAGTTGCTCTGATTTATATTTCTCCAAGATTGTACAAGAGTGTCTTTGTCTCTATGCACAAAATTTTGGAAATATTCTGATCTCCAAACTTGTTCTCTTTTACTAAATGGTGTTTTGTTAGGCAATTTTCGTTCTGCTCTCAATGATGTGACGGCTGCCAGAAAGCTAAAACCCTGCCACCTCAAAGCAATAGTAAGAGGTAAGTCTTGTAGAACTACAGTATGATTGTCATTATGGAAAAGTTGGCACTCACTGCACCAAAAATTAAGACATTTTAAGTTTTGGTATGAAGGTGCTAAGATACTAATGAAGTCACCTTATTTTTGCAGTCTTGATATTAAGTTCCTGGTCCTTATTGACAGCAACATGCCATTTTTAAAAGAATTCTCTAGAGAATAATCTAACCCTTTGTGTTTTAAGAATTTGTAGAGAAATTTAAACTCCTCATTTTAAATTAATAAAGAATATAGTTAATTAAAAGAAAGCAGTTTCAAAAGCCACATTCTAATTTTTTCCCAAATTAGTTAATTGAAAGGTGAGATCTTCAAATGCCATGTTAATGTTAATTAAAAGATAAGTTATGGGACCTTTGCTGATAACTCGGATGCTGAGATGTTCCCAGGTTATTTTTTCTTTTGTAATCTGATCTTTCTATGTAATAATAGTACTTTTATTACTTTTATACTTCACCTTTTCTTTGAGAAGCTCCAAGGTGCTTTGCAAACTTTAATTTACTTATCACATGTTAATCTTTCCCATATCCCCATGGACCAACTTAAAATGCTTTATCAAAGTTATGCTTATTTAGATACTCATGGTTCGCGGGTGGTAAGTAGATCCATGTCCCTCAGCTGTAGGGAAGGAAGGTACTGAACAAAGATTGGCAAGTAAATTGAGTGCAGTCCTGTGGAATCGGCCACAGGCTGAAGTCTGTAATCCTCAAGTAATGCTTGAGTGAATTGTCAATTTTACCTTATTATGTGACCTTGCCAAGACACCCACTCTGCATGTGAGTTTGCTCATCTCTGGAAGGTGAGGTTGGATTCTATTGACATCTAAGCCCTTGCAGTTCTGATATTTTGAAATTCTGTGGAAAACCTGAAGAGGCTAACTGGAGAAAAAGTGAACATGATTAAAGGAGCGGCAGCTTAAACTGGTAGCCATCGAGAACGATTTTAGGAGAGACCTCAAGTCTTTGGTCTTGCCACTGTTTGGTGAATGACTGAGGCTAATTTTGCTCTTTGTCTTCAGTTAAAAAAATCATCTGAGACGGGCTGTTTTCTTCTCATTTGCAGATGAGGAACCTGAAGCTCAGATATGCTCAGTTCTTTGTCTAAAGTCTAGTTAGTAAATGACAGAGCAGATTTCCAGCCCAGATCTGATTCCAAAGCCCGTACTCGTCTCCATTAAGCTGTAGCCTTCCCTTCTTTAAGAGTCCTTAATACCAGGGATGCTTACAGAAGTTTTGAGCTGAGTGGGCCCTAGAGATCTTTTTGATCTAAGATACAAAATATATTCTTCCTTGTCTGGGGAATGCAATACAAGGGGCTTTATCATCTCTTTTCCCTTCAGGGTGCTGGCTGGTAGCTGGTGGAGGTGGGGGGTTCTGCTCAAGGAGGGTCTTTCCATGCATGTTGTCCATGGATCCTAAGAATTCTGTGTTCTGCAGGTGCCTTATGCCATCTGGAACTGAAGAACTTTGCCGAGGCTGTGAACTGGTGCGATGAGGGGCTGCAGATAGATGCCAAAGAGAAGAAGCTTCTGGAAATGAGGGCTAAAGCAGACAAGCTGAAGGTTGGTGGCAGAATCAGTAGCTAGTTGGCATTTGTTAATTAGCATTCCCCAGATTTTGTCTTTTGGGTCATTGCACATTTTTTCTTTAAAAACAAAACCCGAACCAGTCCCTACCCTTGGAGCTCTGGAGGACACAGACAAGTAAACAAACATGTAAATAAATAGTTATAATGTGATAGAGGCAAGCAAGAATATAGTATATATAGTAGTGGTTATCTAACTTTGCCCTGGCCAAGAGCAGGGCAGAGATGGTGGTAGCAGAGAAGGTTTACTGAAAGAGGTGATGCCTGAGTCTAATCTCTTGAAGATTGAGCAAGAGTTTACTCAGCTAAGGAGGGGAGTGGGTGTGAAGAACATTCCAGACAGGAGAAAGAAGAACTGTATAACCTTGGGCGAGTTCCTGATATTTCTGAAACTCAGTCCCCTCTTTGAAAATAGTGAACATAATACATACCTCAAAGGTTTTTATGAGGATTAAATGAGAATATATGTGTGTGTGTGTATTAGCACATTTCTTATATATCGTAAGGATTTGGTAAATTCATGGCTATTATGATTTGAATAAATAAGAAATAGGATAAGACTGCCATAGTCTAGTCTGCACACTGTGTAAAGCTCTTGATAGTGAGGAGGGGAAAGTACAATTAAATGTTTAAACAAAACCCTAAGCTTCTACAATGTTATGTGACTCCCATCATTAAGACACCTATAACTTGCTGATGAAACACTACATTTCTGGCACATAACAGCAACAGTGATGATAAAAACAATAATAATAACAGAATACCATTACTATCAAAAATAACATCCAGGGGCCGGCCCAGTGGCACAAGCAGTTAAGTGCGCGCACCCCGCTGCAGCGGCCCGGGGTTCGCTGGTTCGGATCCCGGGCACGCACCAACGCACCACTTGTCAAGCCATGCTGTGGCAGCGTCCCATATAAAGTAGAGGAAGATGGGCATGGATGTTAGCTCAGGGCCAGTCTTCCTCAGCAAAAAAAGAGGAGGATTGGCAGATGTTAGCTCAGGGCTGATCTTCCTCACACACACACAAAAAATAATAATAATATCCAACATTAAGATAGCATTTTGTGTATGTTCCAGGTGCTACTTAAAAATTTTTACTTAAATGAGTCAATCTAAACCACACAGTAGCCCCATAGGGAGGAACTATTCTAATTCACCTTTCACTGGTGAGGTAGCTAAAGCACAGAGAGATCAGGAAGTTGCCTAAGTTGCACAACTGTGGTGAAGCTAGGCTTCAAAGTTAAGCATTCTGGCTCCAGAGTCCACACTCGTAGTCTCTGTTCAGTAGTGCCTCACGTGTCTGTTCAATACAAAGCCAGAACTAGATTTCGGGTCTCCTGATTCCTGGTCTAAGTCTCTCTTCATTGCTTATACTATGGAGTGGGAATTTTCAGTGCCATGGGAGCCTTCAGCTGGCCCTAAACAGGTATAGGTTTTAGTCATAGGCCATTCTGGTCATGAAATGGTAGGAAAAGTAGATATCTGTGGACCCACAAGGCTCAATAACAGAATTCTGATCCTAGGTAACTGAATGTTGGTCAGAATTTCTGAAAGTTGTATGTACAGGAGAGAATGTCTAGAGGGCTACTGTGGAAGGCCATAGCCAAGCTTATCCATAGAACAGCCCTTAGTGGACCTAAATGAAAGCTTCTAGGTCCTGCAGCAGAGTCACAATTAAAGGGAGATTTCGGGGCCCAAAAGCCTGACATTAGGTATAGGTGACATCATTTGCTGAGCATCAGGATTATTCCCTATATCTGCGTATAAATTGATTCTGGATTCCTTTGTGCTTGGCATATGTAAGCAACAGACCTCTTATGGCTATATTAATATCAGACAAAATAAACTTCAAGGCAAAGAGTATTACCAGAGATAAAGCAAGGCATTTTTTAAGTGATAAAAAAGGTCAGCTTATCAAGAAGATTTAACAATTCTAAATGTGTGTGTACCTAATAACAGAATTTCAAAATGCATGAAGCAAAAAATGGACAGCTCAAAGAAGGAAGAGACAAATCTACAAATAGGTGGAAATGGTCAACATTCTTCTCTCCTAGTAACTGATAGAGCAAGGAGATAAAGAAATCAGTAACGAGAGTTGATATCAGCAAAAATGGCCTACTAAAGACCTGCAAATATTCTCTCCATAAAGTCAATGGAAAACTGGCAAAAGTGGCCAGAATCAACTTTTTCAGAACTCTGAAATGAACCATAGGCTTGTAGCAGTCTGGGGAGTGTTTATTCAAGAAAAAAGGCTGAACTTCTATAAGAACAGCAAACTTTGTGGCATTTTAACTTGTCCTATTCCCATCTCCCCCCTCCCTAGTTCCACAGTTACCTTGAAAGCAAACAGCCCACAATCATGGTGAAAATGAGCAGGCTGGCAGCCACCAGAGGAGGCAGAACAGGATTAGAGCTCCTTCCAAGCCCCATTCTCAGAGAATTGTCTTTTTTTTTTCTTGGTGAGGAAGATTGGCTCCTGAGCTAACATCTGTTGCCAATCTTCCTCTTTTTGCTGAGGAAGATTAGCTCTGAGCTAACAGCTGTGCCCATCTTCCTCTATTTTGTATGTGGGATGCCTGCCACAGCATGGCTTGACAACTGGTGTGTAGGTCTGCGCCTGGGATCCAAACCTCCAAACCCTAGGCCGCTGAAGCAGAGCACGCAAACTTAACTACTGCACCACTGGGCTGGCCCAGAATTGTCATGTTTTGACCATCTGGTGGTTCCCTAGAAGACCACACTCACAAGGCTGTTTTTATTTGACCTGTCTTGGAGCTATCCCAGTATGAAAAGCTTTTTCATGGCAGGGAGGAAGGGGAGTGTGTTTGTCAAAAACAATGAGAGGCAGTTATTTAAAATTGCAGCTGCCTGAGGCAGTGCATAATGTTGGGGCAAACAATAGGCTTACCAGAAAACTTGAAAGCTGGGGAATGATATTCTGTAGGGGCTTGGAAAGCTCCCACATATTCCTGGGAATCTAGAAAGTCACATGTGTGCCCAGGGCTATGCACGTGCTCAGGAAAGATCTAAGAAGGCCCTAAGCTCCCACCTCTGGCTGATTTGGAGGCTCTGTACAAGCAGGAAGTGAAAGCTAAGACCAAATTGTAGACTTCTTGTGTGAGTGTTGAAGGCATGCCCCAACTCATACACAGAGCCCCTCAGCAAAGACTGGGACACTTTGGCTTCAGCCATTTAGGGAAATCTGTCTAGTCATTAGCTGACCACCAAGCTAAGCAATTAGAGACTTTAGTGGTCACATAAAACAGAGAATACTTTCTGTAAAGTATTTCTGTTTTACAGAAAGTGTTTACTTGCTGTAAAGAAGGCTTTACAGAATTAGTTCAGAGAAGTCACTAAACAACAATAACAGCAGCAACAAACACTGGGGAGGAGAGAGAGAGAATCTTTCTAGAGTTACAACATATTATTTAAAATGTCCGTTTTTCAACAAAAAATTACAAGACATGCAAAAAACCAAGAAAGGATGGCCCATACACAGGAAAAAAAATCAACAGAAACTGTCCCTAAAGGATCATAGACATGGGACTTAAAAGACAAAGACTTTAAACCGGCTACTTTAAATCTGTTCTACAAACAAAGGAAACAATGTCTAAAGAACTAAAAAATATATGTATATGAGAATGATGTCTCACCAAATAGAGAATATCAATAAATAAAAATGATTAAAAGGAACCAAATAGAAATTCTGTAGTTGAAAAGTACAATAACTGAAATGAAAAATTCACTGAGGAGCTCAACAACAGAACTCTTAAGATAGGTCAATTGTGATTACCCAGTCTGAGGAACAGAAAGGAAAAAGAATAAAGAAAGATGGAGAGAGCCTGAGAGACCTGTGGGATGCCATCAAGCATATCATCATAGGCGTAATGGGAGTCTCAGGAGAGGAGAAGGAGAAAGGGACAAAAGAATATTTGAAGAAGTAATAGCTGAAAACTTCTCAGATTTGATGAAAAACAGTAATCTACTCTTCCAAGAAGCTTAACAAACTCCAAGTAGGATATACTTAAAGACATCTACACTTAGACACATCATAATCATAACTGTTGAAAGTCAAAGACGAAGAGAATCGTAAAAGCATCGAGAGAGAAGTGATTCTTCACAGATAAGAGATCCTCAATAAATGAAGAGCTGGTTTCTCATCAGAAACCATGGAAGCCAAAAGGTGGTGGGATGAAAGAAATTCAGTGCTGAAAGAAAAAGACTGTCAACCAAGAATTCTATGTCAAGCAAACCTGTCCTTCAAAAATGAAGTAGAGGAAGAAGTAAAACTCCATTAGCAAATGATCTGATCTTGTATATAGAAAATCCTAAGGAATCCACTAAAAACTATTGGAACTCATAAATCAGTTGAGCAGGCTGGTAGGATACATCAGTATAACAAAATCGATTGTATTCTGTAGACATTTAATGAATCTTTCAAATATGAAATTAAAAAACCAATTCCATTTACAAAAGCATCAAAAGAATAAAATACTTAGGAATAAATTTAACAAAAGTAGCATAAAACTTTACCCTGAAAATACAAAACATTGTTGAAAGAAATTAAACCTAAGTAAATGGGAAGACATCCCATGTTCATGGATCAGATCTTAATATTGTTAAGATGATGGTACTCCCCAAATTGATGTACAGATTCAACATAATCTGCATCAAAATTCCACCTGGCTTCTTTGTAGAATATTGACAAGCTGATTCTAATATTCATATAAAAATTCAAGGGACTCAGAATAGCCAAAATAATCCTAAAAAACAAAGAGTTAGAGAACTCACACTTCCCAATTTCAAATCTTACTACAAAGCTGTAACAATCAAGACATGGTACTGGCATAATAGACACATGGATCATTGTAATAGAATTGAGAGCTCAGAAACAAATTTACAGATGATTGATTTTCAACAAGGGTACCTAGACCATTCAGTGGTGAAGGAATAGTCTTTTCAACAAGTGATTCTGGGACAACTGGATATCCATATGCAAAAGAATGAACTTGGACCCCTATCTCGTATGATATACAAAAATTACCTCAAAATGGATCAAAGACCTAAACGTAAGAGCTAAAACTATAAAACTCTTGGAAGAAAACATCAGCATAAATCTTCATGACCTTGGATTAGGCAGTGGTTTCTTAGCTATGACACAGAAAGCATATAGACACAAAAGAAAAAATAGAAAAACTGGACTTCATCAAAAGTAAAAACTTTTTTGCGTCAAAGGACGCCACTGAGAAAGTGAAGAAAACCCACAGAATAGGAGAAAATATTTGTAAATCATATGTCTGTTAAGGGACTTTTATCTAGGATATATAAAGAACTCTTAACATCTCAATAATTACAAGACAATCCAGGTTTTTAAATGGGCAAAAGATCTGAAGAGACATTGCTCCAAAGATGATATAAAAATGACCAGCAAACACATGAAAGATGGTTAACATCATTAGTCATTAGGGAAATGTAAGTCAAAACCACAGTGAGGTACTGTTTTACACTCACTAGGATGGCTATAATTTTTTTTATTTTTTATTTTTGTGAGGAAGACCAGCCCTGAGCTAACATCCGTGCTAATCCTCCTCTTTTTGCTGAGGAAGACCGGCTCTGAGCTAACATCTATTGCCAATCCTCCTCCTTTTTTGTTTTCCCCTAAGCCCCAGTAGATAGTTGTATGTCGTAGTTGCACATCCTTCTTAGTTGCTGTATGTGGGACGCGGCCTCAGCATGGCCGGAGAAGCGGTGCGTCGGTGCGCACCCGGGATCCGAACCCGGGCCGCCAATAGCGGAGCGTGCACACTTAACCGCTAAGCCACGGGGCCGGCCCTCTTTAAATGTTTATTGAACTGAATGCGGCCCCTGGTATCCCTTGACACAGGAGCCTGGGTTGGGTAGGGACCAGAAATAGTGATTTAGGAGCAGGCTGGTGTAACGGAAGAGGAAGCAAGTCCTCTAGAACTGATGCATCTGAATTTCATTTTCAGCGAACTGAACAGAGGGATATAAGGAAAGCAAAATTGAAAGAAAAGAAGGAGCAGAATCAGAATGAGGCTTTACTCCAGGCCATCAAGGTGCGTTCTCAAACCTTAGGCCCTTATGGTTCTTGTTAAATCCACTAATCCTGAAACCTGTTGGGAACCTTTCTTGGGATGCTTTTACCTGAATGAATTTGTTCATTTTCTTTCTGCTTTGGTGAAGCAGTATGATGAAGGGGCTCTGGGGTCAGACCCCTGAGTTCAGTCAGCTCTCCCACTTGTGTACGTGTGTTGGTCTCAGGTAACCTACAGTAAATAGTTGCTAGGGGTTAAGCATTATTTAACCTCACAGTTGTCTTCTGAGGTAGGTCTTCTTGCTCCTGTTTTGCTAGATGATGACGAAGTCTCAGAGGTGAAGAAACCTCACACAGCTAATGTGTGTCAGAGCCCGGTCCTTGCTCCTAGCCACTGTTCTACTGCATCTTCAGAAAGTCTGAATTTTTAGGATGTTGCTTCTCTACCTGTGACAACAAGAACACAATTCGACCTCCCCTTCCCTCTCTTCTCTGCATTTTAAATGAATGGAGTCTGATCCAAGTCTTGCTTTTACCTCAGTACCCAGCAAGTCTCCTGTTGAGCCTGGGCTTGCTTGGTCCTCACAAGGGAGATAGCACCTGCCCTGTTGTGGGGTAGGTTCTTGTGTCATTCTTTGTTGCATTCAGTTATGCACCCATTTAAGTTACTTGTTGACTTTGAGAACTTCACGCTACTAAGATGCACTCCACTAGTCCCTCCCCACAACAAGCAATCTGTTAATACATATTAACAGAGTAACAGAGTGAAATACTCCAGATTCTCCATTGACTTCACATTCACAGTAAGGGATTTGGTCATTTCCTAAAATGCAGAATGTTGGAATGCCCAGACATTTGCACACAGACCTCATTTTGGTTCTCTCCTTTAGTCTAACATCTCCAACTTCAGTGTACGTAGGAATCACTCTCCACAGTAGTCCACATGAAGCCACACCTACTGTACTTTACCAGTGGTTTAAAGCAAGGGTCAGCACACTGCAGCCAGTGGATCGCAGCCCTGCTTGTTGGTTTATGTGTTACCTATGGCTGTCTTCACACTGCACTGGCAGAGTTGAGTAGTTAATTTCAACAGAGACTGTTTAGCCCACAAAGCCTAAAATATTTCTTGTCTGACCCTTTGAGGAAAAGTTTGCCAGCCTGTGATTTAGGAGATCCCATTAAAGATAATTCTGATTGCGTGTAATTTTCCCCTCATGTGCTAGCCTTAGGAACCTCCACACACATACAGAAGAGGTGACTACTATTCAGACCTTTGATTTTTCCTTATTTCCATGAGGAAGGCAAGATTAAGTCAATGTGCATTATTTTTAGTATTTCACGTCCTAGCTAAACTGAAACGTTTGCCATTTTTGTACATGCTACACTCTTGATCTTTTCAGTGCCTTTGCACATGCTCTTCCTTGGGGTGGAATGCCCATCCACCCTCCCCCCACTCTCTAGCTTCTCTGCCTTTCAAAGTCATTGTTCAAGGCCTGGCATTCCCCCAGTCACCTGCAGCCCCCAGGCTGAATTAACTGTTCATGGTCTGCAGTTCCACAGCTCCACTTCTGACCTTATATGGTACTTGTTTCCATAGCTGTCTCCCCACTGGACCGTGAGCAGGGTCTTGAGGGCAGGAACCATGTCTAGCTCGTCTCTGTGACACAGAGTCCAGCAGGTGGTAGATCGCTGGTGAAGGTGCGTTAAACCAGAGTGATGCCTACTCTGTGCCAGGCCTCAGGGACGATGCAGTCGAATCATGTGTAGAGCTGGCCCTCAGGGAACTGCAGTGTTATCGTTTCCCTGTTTTGGTGAAATGGATTGGCATCCTTCCACACAGTAAGGGGGGTGTGTGTGTGTTTCTGTCTTGAACCCAGGCTAGGAACGTCCGGCTAGTCTCTGAAGCTGCCGGTGAGGATGAAGATTCAGCCTCAGAAGGTCTCGGTGAGATTTTCCTGGATGGGCTCAGCTCTGAGAACCCCTACGGAGCCAAGCTGAGTGTAGATGACCAGGGCAGATTGAGCTGGCCTGTGCTCTTTCTGTACCCAGAATACGCCCAGTCGGACTTCATCTCTGCTTTTCACGAGGACTCCAGGTACTTACTTGCCCTACAGCCCTCTGCTCTGGCTTGCATGCACTTTTTCTGCTGGAAAAAGGGCAGGAGGGCCAGGTGGACTTTTGGTTGAGGAGGGAAGAGAATGGTTTGGAAGGTTTCACACAGTCTGGTTGGTATAATGTCTCTATCCTGTAGCTGATTCCTCCCTTTACTAACTAGCTCTGCAGTGATGGACACCAGTCTCACCATCACGCTGACTGGGCTCGTCAGTGAACACCACAGTACAGGGTTTGTCAAGTACTGGTGCACAGCTCTGCTGAGATAGGAAATCATCAGCAAAGTACTAAAGTGTGTATTTATTAGAAAAAATATAACTAGCAATTTTAACGTGTGATTTCATAGGGTTAATGCCTAGAATGTGGCTAAATGCAAGGAATGTTAAGCCTGAGTAAGTTTAGAGAAAATTATATGATAATAGGACAAGTATTACATACATTTTGGGCACTGTTGCCAAAATGGCTTAAGCCTGCATTTCATGTATTATACATTCTTGATATCTTTGTGAATTGGTGTCTGGGGACTGGGATGTGGGAAAACAGATCATGAGTTATTGATACCCAGAAAGTGCATGTATGTCCTTAGGTTTATTGATCATCTAATGGTGATGTTTGGTGAAACACCCTGTTGGGACTTAGAGCAAAAATACTGCCCTGATAATTTAGAGGTAAGAGAAGTTTTATTTTGTTCCTCTATGGGATTTTTTTTTTTGGTTGGGAGTGAGGTTTCACTGTCTTTTAAAAAAAAAATTGTGGTAAAATTTACCATTTTAACCAATTTTAAATGCACACAGTTCAGTAGCATTAAGTACATTCACATTGTTGTGCAACCATCACCACCATCCCTCTCCATTCTCATCATTCCAAACTGAAACTCTGTACTCGTTAAACAATAACTCCCTATTTCCCGCTCCCCTAGCCCCTGGCAACCGCCATTCTTTCTGTCTCTATGAATCTGACGACTCTAGGTACCTCATATAAGTGGAATCCTATAATATTTGTCCTTTTCTGTCTGGGTTATTTCACTTAGCATAATGTCTTCAAGGTTCATCTATATTGTAACGTGTCAGAAGATCCTTCCTTTTTAAGGCTGAATAATATTCTGTTGTTGGGATTTTTAAAAAAGTAATCACAACTTACAGTGTGAAGAATTTGTCTTCTAACCATTTGAGAGTAAGATGCCAGCTGATGCCCCATCACCCTTGAATACTTGAGTGTCTGTTTCCTACAAACAAGAATATTTTCCTTCATCTCAATCAACCATCAGAATTAGGAAATTATGGGGCCGGCCCCGTGGTTTAGCGGTTAAGTGCGCGCGCTCCCCTGCTGGCGGCCCAGATTTGGATCCCAGGCACGCACCGACCCACTGCTTGTCAGGCCATGCTGAGGCCACGTCCCACATACAGCAACTAGCAGGTTGTGCAGCTATGACATACAACTATCTACTGGGGCTTTGGGGAGAAAAAGGGGGAAAAAAAAAAAGAATCAGGAAATTAATGTTGATACACTAGTACCATCTAATCCTCAGACTCCCTTCAGTTTCACGGTTGTCCCAGTAATGCTCTTTACAGCAAGAAGACCTGTTGAGAATCCTATATTGTATTGTATTTGTTGGTCATGTCCCTTTAGTCTCCTTCAGGTTATAGAGAAGTTTTGTAGTCTTTCCTCGACTTTCTTGATCTTAACACTTTTGAAGATTTTGTTAGCGCCATCAAGTCCATTCCAACTCCTAGCAACCCTGTGTACAGCAGAGCGGCACCTGGCCTGGTCTTTTTGTGCCATTCTCTCACCTTCCAGCACAGATAGTGCTCTGCTCCTATTCTTAGGGTTTTCATGGCCAATTTTTTGGCAGTGGGTGGCCAGGTCCTTCTTCCTAGTCTGCCTTAGTCTGGAAGCTCTGCTGAAACCTCTTCACCATGGGGACCCTGCTGGTATTTGAAATACTGGTGGCATAGCTTTCAGCGTCACAGCAACACAGTTGCCACAGTGTGACAACTGACAGACTGGTGGTGTGGTTCCCTGACCAGAAACAAACCTGGCCCCTGTGGTGACAGCACCAAATCTTAACCACTAGACCACCAGAGCTGGTGGTCTACAGACCGGTTATTTTGTGGAAAGTCCATAAGTGTGGGTTTGTCTTGTGTTTCCTCATGACTAGATCTGGATTATGCATACTTGAGTGGAATATCACAGAAGTAATTCTGTGTTCTCGTTGCATCCTATCAGGTGCACATGATTTCAGTTTGTCCCATTACTGGTGATGTTTACTTTGATCATCTGATTGAGGTGGGGGTCTACCAGGCTTCTCTACTGTAAAGTTACTCTTTTCCCCTTTGTAATTAGTATTTTATAGGGAGGTACTTTGAAACAATATAAATATCCTATTGTTCATCAAACCTTCAACATAATCGTTTATTTATATCAATGGATTTATGGTTTCCTATTTTATTGAGTTATAATCTATTACTATGATTATGTTATGCTCAGATAATCCCAGACTTTGCCAATGGAAATCCCTTCAAATTTGTTTCTGTGTCCTTTTGACTTATCTCCATTTTTTAAGCACTTCCTTACTTTCTGGCAAATTACGCTTTCTTGCTCCAGCTCTGGAATCAGCCATTTTTCCCAAGGAGTCCTGGTTCTTTTTAGTGGAAAATGGTATTTAGAACCAATGTCTATGCAATAGGTATATTCATAAGTATGGGGGTGGGGGGAGGGGAGCTCACTGCTCCAATGCCGTGTGTGTGTGTTTGTGTGAGAAAACATGAGGTCTCATTGGTATCTCCAGTTCTAATCCAACACCACAGGACCTGTTTTCTCCCTTTCTCTATTTGTAACAGTGGCTTTTATTATTCTTAATATATTTATTGGTTTGATCAATCTCCCTGTATTTAACGCTCCTCCTGTCACCACCACTGTCCCCTCTCCCACAGGGAACCTTCCTCACACTACTTGGACTCTTGACTCCCACATCAGGCTGCTGCCCCAGCGTGGGTGCCCTCCTCATCCTGCACACACTCTCACACCCCACACTGCTCAACCACCCTGCATGAACGTCCCCCTCATCCTGCTCGGGGTTCTCACTCCCCACAGCAGGCTACCCTGCCATGAGTGGTTGCCCTCCTCACCCTGGTTGGGCCCTGACACCCCATAGCGGCTGTCCCCAAGTATGGACACCCTTCTCACCCCAGGTGGGCTCTGATATCCCACCCTGGACAGCTGTCTTACCTGGAAGTCCTTCTCACTCCGCTTATGCTGGCCAGCCCCCTTGGGGATGCCCTCCTCCACTGGCTGGGCTCTGACACCCCTCACCCCCGGCAGCCCTCCTGTGCAGACGTCTTCCTCACCCTGCTTGGGCTTTGACACCTGCACAGGGCCATCCCCTGTGTGGACATCCTTCGCACCGTGGTCGGGGTCTTCCCCTGCTCTGGGCCACCATGGCTTTCTTCCCCCACACCTAATGGCTCTAGCACTGAATTGTTAGGGAAGAGAAGGCTCACAGGCCTGGGCTTGAGTCTTGGCCCCTCTGTTTACTAGCTGGGCTTTGTTGGTGAGTTATTTCCTTTCTCTGAGCCTTGGTTCTGTCTTTGGAAAATGGAGCTGTAATACCTTTCTTGGTGTCTTGGGGAGGACTGAGTGCTTTGTACTCCACAACTCCATAAGGAGGCATTTGACTAGTAACAGTGGCCATCTCTTTAACTCCTCCCTACACTTGGCCTCAACGTGCCTAGTGCTGCTGAAGCCTCGTATTTTTATCTGACTCCTGCTCCTCTATTAACAATCTTGCAGGTCTACTTTGAGGATGAGGACAGGGCAGAGCTATACCGGGTGCCTCCCGAGAGCACCCTGCTGCAGGTGCTGCAGCACCCCAGGTGAGTCGCCTTCATGGGGCGGAGCAGACCAGGGAAGATGCAGATAAAAGCTGGGTTCTCATGCCACCACTGATTGATTGCCCGCGCCGCCCTGGACACAAAGCTGAGTGAGACGGCAGCCACGGAGACTGGCCCGGGCCACTGGCCAAACAGGTTGCAGTGTTTGCACCACAGCCACGACACCCTCAAACTGGGAGAAGTGAATGGGGCTGGGCTGAGAAGGGAAAAGCTGCCTGACTTGTACCTGAAGACAGCTGGGATGGCCCTCCTGTTCCTGATTGTGCCGTGTCCCCTGATATTGTTATATGGAAAGAGCACTGGCTCTTGAAGTCAGATACCATCCTTGCCTGGCTATGTGACTCCAAGCACATACTCCCTCTCTGGGCTGTTTCCTCATCTCTAGAATGGGAATAATAACTCTTGCCTACACACTTCTCAGCTATTTGAGCACCAATGAGAGAGTAGGAGTCGAAGTGCTCCTGTAAACTGTGAAGGGCGGACTTGCTGTAAGAGGGCATCTTTGTTAGTAGCAGTGGCAGCCAGTGCATTTGGCAGTGGTCTCTTTCTTCAGCTTTGGGGTGTTCTGGACTATAAGGGAATGCCCTCGGTAGTGTTTTAAGTTGACTCTTGGATGACATTTCCCTAAGCTCAGAGCAAAGCTGATGCTCTGCATGTAGGCTAAGAGCCCAGTGTGTTAGGGACCAAGGGTGCTGGGTGTGATGGGGATGAGGCTGGAGAGCTAGGTTAGGGCCAGGCGTGAAAGCCTCAAACACCTTGCTAAGAAGCATGAACTTTATCCTGAGGGTGGTGTGTGGAGCCACAGAGGGTGTTTATTTAGGTAAAATTTACAAGTAAGGTCCAGATTTTAAGTGTACTATTCAATGGTGAGGCCTAAAGTAGGGGATCAATTGGAGAGAGGTTTAGGAGGCAGATTGGAGGGGAACTGGGGATGTGGTGACTGACTCGGTAGGGCTGTCCAGCTGGTCTTGAGGCTTCTGCTTTGGCTTGGCAGGTAGGAGGTGAGGTGAGGATTTCTTCAGATATGATCGATGACTTCTCTTGGCAGTGTTTTTTTCTGGCACCAAATCTCCCTTCTAGTTGATAGACAAATTTTTAGCTGTTCATTTTCTCAGTTGTTAGCAAATTACCCAGAATTCTTTAAAGGCCTGAGGTCCACCCTACCCCATCTCCAAAACATAGTAGAGAAATCTAAACAGAAAGCAGACTGATCTGTGGAGGAAAACCAATTTCATGCTTCTCAGAAAATATAAATGCCATTGGAAGTGATGACTTTTTAAATTTAGAAGATCACAGGCAAGAGGCTCCCCAGGACAGGTTTCTGGCATCTTCAGACCCTGAACTGGGTGGAGCCAAGTTACAGGCCCCTCTGTCCAGGTCCAACTCCCCTGGGTAATGCTGACATCCCCTGACCTGGGAGGCCAAGGTCTTGCCCGCTTCTCCAGGTTGCCCCTCTCGGTTTGCTTTAGCCCCTACAACAGCAAACACCTTGGTGACCTGCACCTCAGGCTTTTGCTCCCCCATGCCCCGTGACCACCCCCTTTCCACATGCAAGTCAAGCTCAGACATGGCATCTTCCAGGAAGCCTTTCCTGATTCCCCTTCCCCTTAGAGAGAATCACACCCCTTGGGCTAAGGCTGTACTGCACAACGCTTCTACAGTTGTGCCTTGCTGTCATTAATTCATTATTTATCTCCCTCCCCTCAGGACTTGAGAGCAGGGACGATGGTTTTTGTTTGTTTTTTAATCTTTGTTTTCAGCACAGCGCCTGGCTTACCCTGGGCACCCACTGTTGAATAAATGAGTGAAAGCATGTTCTTTTAGTTTTATTTTGTGTTTAGTCTTAGACATATGTGATGCTGGAGGACTGGGCCAAAGGTTCTGGCTGGCTTGTAAGGGGGAGAGGGTCACGCTGACTTGCCGGATTTAGAAACAACCAAACGTGCTAAACTTGCATTTTAATGTTGACTCATATCCCAAGTTCACCTTGAATGTTGTTGGGAAGGTCCATGGGTGATTAAGATTGCAGTTCAGTTAACCCCTTTCCTTGGTTGTCTTCCCTGCAGGTACTCTGTAAAAGCCCTGACACCAGCATTTTTGGTCTGTGTAGGATCCTCTCCTTTTTGTAGGAATTATCTCCGGGGGAGAAAGGTGCACCAGGTAAAGTGACCGAGCCAGGCTGGGAGCCAGGCCCCCTGGATCTCCTATCTCACCCTCCTCCGCCTGGAATCCAGTGTACTTGAATCAACTGGACATACTCCTAGAATCCAAGACTTTATTTCTGTCACCTTGGGGACAGTCCTTCCTTGCATCGTGCTTGGGGAGGAGCTGCTGACCTCCCTGGACTGCAGCCTCTCTGGTCAGAGTGCTGGGCTCCAGCTGGTCTTCACCCTCCTCTGTTGATACAAGACTCCGCACCTTGGTCATGACATCCGTGGACCCACTGTGAGCTGCGATAACCACCAGCCTCCATCTCTGACGGGACCATCTGTTGCAGTTAACCACAGCGACTCACCCGAGGAACTCACTGGCCTGTGGACACTGACTCAGGATCCAGTGACACGGTTCTGAACTTTGTGGAGTTAGAGGCCTTAGAGAAGCTACCCCTCAGACTGCACATATCCACAAACCACGCATGTCATTTTAAGGCACTAAAGAGATTCCGGCCTCCAGTTATTTCATGAGCATAGAGGGGTGCTCTGTGGGGATGCTGTAGATGCCTCGGGGTGAGATGGGGCCAGGAGAGCCGCGTCTTGTTTCTGCAGCTATAAAGACCTACCCACTGGGATCCTCCAGAACCCCTAAAACATTTGCCAGTTTTCCTGACTTCTGCTGTATGGAGAACTGTGACAGACTTGGACAGTGGACTCTGAGTTCCTCTCCAGTTTTCACATTTTAGGATTTTGTGCCTTTTAAACTGGAAAATCTTTTTGCATGTTGAGTCACTGTCCTAGGTTGTATTTTTGCGTGCAGCTGTTTGCTTCCTCCTTCCTAGAGGATTTTATACATACTTACCTGTAGCCATGTGACTTCTTACAGTGCCACCCCATCCCCTAGGGAGGAGTGTACTTCCCTGCTTCCAACGCACAGGGCTGTGAGTGGACACGTCCAGACAGAAGCTCAAGGAGCTGCTGCGTGGCAGGCTGATGCTCTTTCCCCTCTGCCATGAGAATGTATTTTCCAGAGAGGGGCTGTTCCCTCAGCCCGTGCGCCAGAATGGTAAGACCCGTGGAGCAGAGCTGAAGCAGCTGGCCTGCAGCCACTGATGGTAACAAGAGTGAGAAGTGAATGTCTGTTGTAGTAATAAGCACTGAGATTTGGGGGTTTTTACTATAGCAAAGCTAATACATCATTAAACTGAAACCAGCTGCCCTTAAGACGGACTGATTTGGGGTTTTGTGCCGTGTGCTTCATTGTCTTTGAAGGGCAATTTGCTGTGGAATATTTACAAAGAACCACGCAGCTTTCCTTCCAGCCGCAGGTGCCTGCCTGTGGCTTGTTCAGGAAGCTGAAGCCCAACCTCCATCCTAAGCCTGGCTTAGGCCATACTGAGGCCGTTCTCTCTCCCCCCAGCTGGACTCCCCACTTGGCTCTTTGTAAGCACTCAGCACTTTGTGTAGGAGACCTGACGTTGAGTTAGCAACAACCTGAGCAGGCGCTGCAGGGCTCCGTGGAGCAGCCACCTCACTCGCACGGGGCAGAGCAGGTTCCAGAGGGCCGCCTGACTCTTCTGTGACACATACTGATTCCTCGCCCCTTCCTGGACACTGAGAGCCTGGGAGGAGGTGGCCAGATGAGAGCATGTTGTACATTCAAAGCATGCACACCCAAGAATGGTCGTTAAACTTCCTTCATCCTCATCACCCAGCCCTGTCATAAGGCTCCTGGCAGGCCAGCTTCTGCTCTAGCTTCCCTGCAGTCCCTGCTCCTCCCTCTAGCTCGGGTGGGGCAGAAGTGCAAAGGGGAAAAGAGACTTAGAACGTTAGATCACAGTAGGGTCCTGGCGGCTGCTGACTTGCTGTGCCTGTGAGTAAGGGCCTGCTGCTTGGTGCCTACTTCATCTGGACAGTGATTCACTGCACCCACCTTGTAGGCTTGTCTGGGGCACTTCTGTGCAGACACTGTAGGCAAGTGCTCAGTCTGGTGACTGGCACGTGATTACTCAGTAACTAGCTCCTAACTCCAGGGAACTATACCCAGGGGCACATCCCTGCAGACCGGTGTCACTAAACCAGTGATTCTCAACCAGGGGCAGCTTTGCACCCCCAGGGGACATTTGCCAATGTCTAGAGACATTTTTCATTGTCACAACTTGGGGGGATGCTATTGGCATCTAGTGGGTAGAGGCCACAGATACTGCTAAACATCGTATAGTGCACAGGACAGCCACACCACAAAGAATTACCTGGCCCAAATTGTCAAAAATGCTGAGTTTGAGAAACCTGCACTAAACTTTCCAGAAGGTGAGCTCTCAGCAGGCAGAGGCCAGATGGGGATTTGTCTGAGTGCCCAGGCCTGACACAGTGGGAGCTCAGTGAGTGAGCGTGCTGATGAGTGGATGGATGATGAGCGAACGAATGAGGAACTAATGAGTGAAAAACCAGAGTCCTGTCCTGAGCCTCATTTGCACACACATGAGCATCAGCAACGGCGTCGCGGGCTCAGGCCTAACGTGGCTGTCTCACACCTCCTCCAGGAAGGCTCCTGGCCTCCCCTGCCTCCTCTGACCTCTGCCGTCCTCTTTGGTCACCAGGAGAGTGGAATGGGCACAGACTTAGGAGCAGGCCTGTGGCGGTTAAGACTAGAATTTGGCTGGGGCAGGGAGCAGGGGGCCCCACGGGCCACACAGGCCTGGCCCGAGCCCCCCCCCCACCCCATGATGTCTAGCCCAGCCTGCGCTTCCCAGCCACCTTGGGGCTCCAGGTGGTGTGAGTTCACCTCCCCCCGACCCGCCACTTACCGAGCCCTCATGGCCTGGCCCAGCCTTGGCTCCACTAGGCTGAACAGGGTGGGGAGTGGGGGGCGGGGAAGGGCCCTGGGCACTCCCCTTCAGAGCAGGGTAGGGGACAGGCAGCTTGCAAAGCAGATGTGTCCAGTGGGGCATGGGGCCCTGGCTTTCCCTGGGTGCTTCCCTGGCCACCTTCCCATTCCTGGGACTCCAGCACAGCCGAGTCAGAGCTCCCTCAAGGACTCAACCCTTCCGTGCCCTGTTTTACAGATGAGGAAACAGGCCCAGAGAGAAGGAGGGCCAAGGCCAAGGCCCCAGCTTCCCGAGTTCTGGCTCTGTGCAAACCATGTACCTGAATCCTTTCATCCTAACAGCCAGGCTCTCAGGCTGTGATCCCAATTTTATAAACAAGGAGATGGGGGCACAGTCTTACCAGCAGAGTGTCAGAGGCAGGATCTGAACCCAAACACCTCACTCCAGAGCCCACCTGTGCCTTGCCTGTGTCCCTCGTATTCCATTTGCTTTACAAACATTTAACCGGCACCAACCAAGGGCAGGGCGTTCAGGCGAAGTGCACCGGGCAGCCTCTGCCTTCCAGGTCACGCTGTTGAGTGGATGTCGTAAATCTAACCCTGGGCTGGGAACTGCTCCAATGAGGGGAGAGAGCCACAACACGCAAGTCTGCCCACGTGCCTGCTCTGAGCCCTCAGTGGCTCCCTGTTCCCTCAACACTCTTGGTGCAGCATTCAAGGCCCTTCAGGGGCCCTTACCACTTCTGCAGCTTCCTTTCTCTCTGACCTCCTTAGCCCAGCCATACTGGACATGGTTCAGCTATGGGGCAGGAGGGTGCAGTGGCTGAGAGGAATGGCTCTGGAGCCAGGCTGCCTGCCTTCCAATTCCAGCCCGACTCACTAGCTGTACAGCCTCGGGCACTTTGCTGAGGCACCGTGTCTCTGTTTCCTCATCTGCAACACGAGCAGGGTAATAGCACCAACCTCATGAAGGTGCTGTGAGGATGAAATGAATTAATCTGTGTGAAGCACATGGAACAGAGCTTGCCTCATACTAAATGTTCAATCTGTGACACTCATTTTTTATTCTCCAATCTTGCCATACTCTTAGCTTTGGGCCTTTGCACATTCTGTTCCCTCTGCCTGGAACACTCTTATTCCCACTTGCTCACCACTCTCCACCCCCAACTGTTCCTCCCTTTACTATTTAACACTGAGTCTTCAATCAGGCCTGACTGCCTCCTCCAGGAAGCCCTTCTGGCCTCTTATCCCACGTCCCATGGCACCTGCACCATCACTGCACTTACCACACTGCACTGTAATTGTCTGCTTACTGGATGGGTCCTCTCAATTCTCTGTAAACTGAGTCAGGGGCCCTGAACTGGGTACCTTTTACTGCCAGGACCTAGCACAGCACCTGCTCAGCATGGAGTAGGTGCACGACAAATTACTGACTGATGACACAGAGGAAGGAGTGAGGAATTCCGCACAGATGAGGCGTGGCAGCCACCACGCATGATGGATGTGGGCCATGAAGCTGAGGAAGGAATCGGGGTGGGTGACGTGGAAGGGCCTTTAAGCAAAGGCAAGGAGCCTGGAGAGGGCATGTCCAGGGGAGGGCATATGCTGGCACGGCTCGGTAATGACAGCTGGCATCTACTGAGCACACACGACATACCAGACTGCTTCCCGTGGACTGGCTCACTTAATCCTCCCAGCACCTCTAGGAGGCAAGTAGTTTCTTAGCACCATCTTACTGATAAAAAAAGGCACAGAGGGGAAGTAACTTGCCTAAAGTCAGCTAGCTAGTGAAAAGTAGCCAGAACTTGAATTCAGGACGCCCTTAAGCCCTTCAGGAGATATTAACAGTAACAAGACCGGGCCCCCGCCTTCGAGAAGTTGGCAGGAGACCCAGCTGCCTTTGCCTGCTCACTCCAAGGTTATGGTAAAGTCTGGCATTCACTGTCACGTAATGTCCCCAACCTGTCTGCCTGGGTAGAAGAATTCATGGTCTGCAGAAACCCCTGCCAGGGTCCCCAGCCAAATCCCCACAGCACCCGACACCCTGCCAGTAGGGTGTCAGCCCATGAGCTTTCTGGGTGAGCCTGGGTAACAAGTTCTACCCCTGCAAATGGTAAGGTAGTCACCACTAACCGTTCAGTGCCTCCTTCCCACTCTCCTGGCCCTACAGTTTTCATTAGCCAAGGGCAATGAAGCTTTAACCATGGAGCTCATTAGCAGCTTCTGGAGCTGCTGGCTTATTAGCTGGTGCTTGAGCGAAGGGAGCCTAAAGGTGTCACCCCATTCTGCTCGCCCCACACACCACCCACCCACCTACTGGGTGCAAAGGGCTAACTGGCCTGACGTAAGGGCAGCTCCACTCACCAGGCAACTGCTGTGAGCCAGGCACTGCTGTCCTCCTCGTACTGGCGAGGAAGGGCAGCAATTAGGAGGAAGTGTCTTGCACAAGGTCACACAGCTATTGAGTGGCCCAAGCAGCCTGACTCCGGAGTCCCTAGCCTGGGTCACTATGATGTAAGTCATTATTTTAAATTAAGAATCTTGATTTTTTTCAAATATTCTCTCAGTTTACAATAACATCATAAAAATATTTTCCACATTATAGAAAACTTTCCACCTTATAAAAACTTTTCCTAACTAAAACAAAGCCTTACATGTCCTCGGATGCAGAACAATCCATTCTAGAAAGCATTCTGGCATCCTGGTGTAGACATGGATAGTGGGAACTCTATGAAGAGGCCTGGCACTCAGGCAGTTAAGGAAATGACAATTTCAACAGATTTCTACAAAGCTCCTTTATTGATAGCCCAGCAGGTGCTGCTTCCATTAAAACACAGAATATTAATGGAGCCTCTGATTTACATTCTAAGCTTGATTTACACGATGGTTTTGTTATACACCAGCCTTTGTCCCTGAGTATTAATTCTGCTAAATATTTCCCAGCCAGTTGCTTCTAGATCTCCCCAGGGAATGAGCAAGGATAATACAGTCTGTACCTGTTATTTTGCCAGCATCCCCATTTCATCGATTTATGGCAAGAGGTAACACTGGCAAGTTAGGAAGGAGAGAGTAAGGTACACAGTTCGAATATTTCTGTCTTTCCCTAAGGAGTTGGAGCCATCCCACAGGCATTACTTACTTCTTGCTGATGGCATTCCCCAGGAAGGTAGTAAAGCATCATATTGAGAAAAGATCCAGGTCTCGAGATACAGTTAACAGCAGAAGCTGAGCTCCGATGGGGGAATGTCCTAAGTCGTCTGGTGTGAAGGAAGCGTCTCCTGAGACCACACTAAGGTTAAGCATTTCATATAACTAAGCTCAGCCAACCCTCCGACAACCCTGGAGGTGGGGGCCATTATCATGAGTGCATATTACAGATGAAGAAGCTGAGATGTGCAAGGGGCAACTAATTTGTCTCAGGTCACATCCCTGGTAAGTTGTGGATCTAGGATTACCTCTCTTCAAGTTCTGATCTTTCCACCAAATCATACTGCCCCTGGATACAGGAAGAAACACTGGCTTAGTAATTGGGACACCTTGGTTTCAGTTCAGCTTGACCTTGGGCAAATCACTGTACTCCCTGTATTTGTCTGCCTACTGGAAAAGAGAGGATGGGTACCTGCTTCATCCCTATAAGGCTTTCGTAGCTTAAAGGCAGATCCAGCCAGACCTCTTTTAACGCAACAAGATCGACCGGAGGTGGCGCAATTTAGGGGACAAGGCACCTGGCCTGCAATCAGGCCTTTTGCCAATCAGCTGGTGTGTGGCAGGTTAGTTCCCACTCCAGGCCTGCTTCCCATCTGTGAAATGAGGGTTGGACAGGCCGGCTCCAAGCTCTCCTCCCTTCTAAAGCTCCATGATTCTACATCATCCTCAATCATTCTATAACTCGCACATTTATGAAGTTTAAAATTAATTGGTTCTCTATTTCCTGGAATCTGGTTTTTTAAAGTGCTTACATTAGCTAGGCTTCCATAAATAAGGAAGCTTAGGGAGCACAAATTTAAAATTAAAAAAATATTTAAAGCACCTATTCACACAAATTCTTATTTCTCACCTACTTTTGGCTAACTTGTGGAGACAGACATAAATAATCCAGTTTTATTTACTGCAATCAATTTTGCCCAGGCAGAGGCTGTGCAGGACAGTGGGAACGGCACGGGTCTTGATCAGTACTCGGATTCTGCTCTGACACTTACAGCTGTGCGTCCTTGAGTAAGCTGCTTAAACGGAGCTTCAGGTTTCCTCAGCTGTAAAACGAGAAGGGCGCCTACCTCGCACAGTTTTAAGGTCTGAAAGTGGTATATAAAGGTGCCTCGTGGCACAGGGCAGGTCTCAACAGATAAATGACCAGACCGTTAAAAGCGTAGAGCTCATATCAGTCTGATAACGCACAACCGAAATTACTCAGAGAAACGCTCAGCTACCAAGTGGCTCAGAGAAGGCGCTACCCTCATACTGGGAGCTCTCAGGCCACTCTGCGCATTAGGATCATCAGGGGAGCTGTAACATTCCCGATGCCCAGGCCACACCCCAGACCAGAATCAGAACCCCTGGTGAGACCCAGGGGATTCCAATGTACAGCCAAGTGTCAGACCCCCCGTCTTACAGTGCAGCCTTCCTAGGTTGGCTCTCAGAACCCACATCTCCTAGCCTGGATGCTGGGCCCAGAGCTCCAGTAGTAGGCCTGGGAGCCACTAAGGCTTGGTCACGTACATTAACTGGGAAACCTGATGGTGTGCGCGTCGTTTAGTGAGGTTCCTCTAGCAGTAACAGCAGCAGCAATAACAGGCTGCTGGGAAGCTGTCTGGCAGGTGGAACAAGTGGCCAAGACAAGAACTACAGTGGGCTGGGAACCAGCCAGGACCCTGCCTCAGGGAGCCGCCCACCCACTATGAGAGGCCGGCCCACTAAGAGTGAGCAGTGTGCGCGCCTAGCAAGAAGGATGGCGTCAGTGCCGGATGGGCAGTGCTGGGAGCCAGAGGGAAAACCCTCCCAGGGGCCGTCAGGCACATTTTCAGGAGGCGCGGGCCTTGACAGACTCCTGTTGGATATGGACGTGCCGAGACACCGAGCTGGTGAGCAGGAGCAGCGAGAGCAGGCGGCACTGCTGTGGCAGCTCAGGTCCGCTCCCAGGTTTCCAGAGAATTCAGGCAGAGACCTTAATGTTCACCCCGTTGTGGCTCCAGGATCCAGCTCTGCCCCTAGGACAAGGTCACTGTGGTACGTGAAGACTGTTATCGCTGATGTTCTTAGGAAGAGAGGTTTAAAACATTTTCCCAGGCACTCAATTTTATTTTTTTGAGTGGAGTGTAGAAATAGAAAAAGACTCTCAAGGTGGGAAGCCACTGCACTGTTGAAATGGCAGGTGCTACCACTGTTTCAAATGAACACGCAAGGCTCATCCCAACAGTCAGACTTTATTCAGTCAATATACCACCATCTCAGTGCTAAGCTGCCTCATACAGCCAGGTCTCTGGAGGTTTTGGGCCATTAGCCAATTATACCAACTTCCTGTGTAGCTTAGACTACAGAGCATCAGAGGACCAGACCTGCCGCTCATGAACCTCTCGTGGAACCAGCCAGTGACAGCTGTAAGGACTTTACAGATCTAGTTCCATTTTCTCATGTCACAGAGGGGAAAACTGAGGCCCCAGCAGGGAAGGGGATGTGTCCAAGTAGAGGACAGCTGGTGGGCCGGCTCTCCAGACCGAATGCACCAAGAGGCACATGCTCAGACTGCGGGAGCGGGAGGGTGTCGGCCATCAGCAACTCCCCTCCGAGACATGGGACATAGCTGGGACAAGGGAAGCGACTCGCCTAAGGGCCACCACGAGGACTCGGCTCTTTCCTGCCTGTCTGCCTCCTGACAGAAGCTTCCAGAATGGAATATAAAGGAATGGTATGTGGCAGCATGGCCGGTCCAGAGGAAAGGGTCAAGATAACAACTTTAAATACAAATAGTCTGAACAAATGACTGGATAAAAATTGGTTTCCCTACCACGGTCTCACCTTCCAGGAGCTGCCCTGTTTCTGGGGAGACCAGCCCAGGAAGGAGTGTAGGACAAGACAGCATTAGAACGACCACCAAGGCCGTGAGATGGGTGGGTGGCGGGGCGGTTTAGACGACGTGCACTTGGCTCAGCAATTCCATGACTCCCTCTTTGGTGAGAAAGACGACCTCTCCAGTGTTCTGGCACCAAACCTCAAAATGTGCAGGGTCCTCCAAGGCCCTCTTGCCAGCGATGATCACAAAGGGGTAGCCAAACTTGTTGGCATCTTTCAGCCTGTTTCCAATGGTCAGATGGGTCCTGTCATCCAGCAGGACCTCCCCGCGAAGCGGCAGCACAGCCTCGGTGATGTTGTCATACAGCTGCCCCATGAGCTCTGCGGCCGCCGCCTCCTTACTGCCCTTCTTAGGGGGGATGAGGCAGACTTGGTAAGGGGCCAGGAGGTTGGGCCAGCGAAGGCCGTCTTCCGTAGAGAGGACTTCAATGGCAGCAGCCAAGATCCGGGTCACGCCCAAGCCATAGCACCCCATTTCAGCCAGGGATGGCTTGCCGTGGACGTTGGTAAACTGGGCATTGAAAACGGAAGAGTACTTGGTGCCCAGGTAGAATGTGTGCCCCACCTCAATGCCTCTGGTTTCCGTCAGTGGTCCCCGGCAAGAAGGGCAGTTCGTTTGTGAGAAGTCCAGTGTCTCCACGTTGGCCGAGAAGCTGCAGCTGGGACAGACTGCAAACCGGTCCTCTCCGACATCCACTGGTAGCTGGAACTCGTGAGACATCGTGCCCCCGATGCTGCCCACAGCTGCCTGGACCTTGACACACGGCAGCCCCAGCCTGGCAAAGAGGCTGCCGTAGGCATCACACACCAGGCTGTAGGTCTGCTGGGCGGCCTCTGGGGAGGAGTCGAAGGTGTACATGTCCTTCATGTAAAACTCTCGGCCGCGGAGAAGACCAAAGCGGGGCCTAGGCTCGTCCCGAAACTTCCTTGTCACCTGGTACAGCAGGAACGGAAGCTGCTTGTAGGACAGTGTCTTCTGGGAGGCGACCAGGGCTGTAATGGCTTCCTCGTGAGTTGGTCCTAAGCAGTATTCCTTGCCGTGTCTGTCCCTCAGTCTCAGCAGCTCCTTGCCCATCAAGTCCCAGCGGTTGGTGGCTCGCCAGAGCTCTGCCGGGCTGAGGCTGGGCATGTTGACCTTCTGCCCCCCGATGGCCTGCATCTCCTGGTCTATCACCCGCACCAGCTTCTCCATGGCGCGGACAGCGTAAGGCAGGAGGTGGTAACAGCCGGGGCTCGCCGGGTGGATCAGGCCGACCTGAAGCATCAGCCGCTGGCTTTTACAAGTCAGGTCGCCAGATCTGCCCTCCAAGGAGGGCACCTGGTCTTCCCGAAGGTTCTGTGGCTGGAACATGCGGGACAGCACCAAGCGCTTCCCTCTCCCCAGGGCACAGTGGTGAAACCCTCTGGGAACGGACCCAGAGAGCTGGTGGCTGCAGGCGGCCAGTGCCCCGCATCTCGTCAGCAGCCCTTCCATGACACCCCGGCAGAGGGACGCACTTGTGCCTGGAGAGAAAGGAGTCATGCAGAAATAAGCGTTAACTGTGTCCCGACACCAGGAAGCAGCCAGCTTGGTCTGGTCTCTAACAAGCTTCTAAGACAGCCACTGATTCTGCAGATGCAAATCCTTTCACTTCTAATATCCTAGCAGATCCAAGTACTACTTCTCTTACCTCTTACTGCTGTTGAAAAAAAATCACTATTTCCCCATTTATACAAATATCACAGCACACTGTGGAGAGGCACCGTGCGTGGTGATTGCATGGGCTCTGGAAGTAGGCAGCCTGGACTCCAGGCAGCGTCCCGCTGACTGCACCCTGTGGGGCTCGGGACACGTGACTGAACCCCTCTGTGCCGTTTCTTCATCTGTACAGTGGTAATACAACAGAACCTCCCTTGTAGGTTTATTGCAGGAATTTAGAAGCGTTATAAAAAGTTATTAGAACAGTACCTGGCCCATTATGTGACTTCAATCAGTGTTGGCTATTATAGAAAACTGGGGGAAAACAAAAACAAAAGGAAATCAACTATAATCCCTCGGCCTAGAGACAACCGCTGCTGTTGTTCCCTGGTCTCTTTTGCCAGCCCTGTCCTCTGCCCAGGCCCCCACCCCAACCCACCTTAAATGTCCTGCGCCTCTTCCCTCCTTGCAGCACACGCTCCCTGGTCAGGCCTCACGCTGGGGACTTGTGGAGTCAACACTGCCACTCCATACGAGTCTCTCGAGCTTCAGACCTGTCTCTGCAACTGCCGCCTGGGGAACACACTGCACCCCAGAAGGAACTCAGCATCTTCCCCCCAACCTGCCCCCTCTCTGGGGCAGCCAATCACTCAATGGTACTGCAAGCCACCCAAACCAGAAACCTGACTTTATCACTGACTAGGTGCCTCGGAAAACTCAAAGGTGGGTTTAGAAGCAATTAACTGTTTTTCCAGGTTGTTTCTTTTCCTTTTGTGTGTTAAGGAGATGTAACCAGCAGCCATCCTGAAACTGACCAAGCCTCACCACAAGAGCTATGCCCATGATCTTTGCCTTATTTTAGTGCAAAGATCTCTCCAGGAGGAGCTCAGGCCTCATTATGTGGACGCACGTTCTCCAACTGAGCCTGTGCAAGCGAATACCCGCCTCTCCCTTTTGAATATTCATTCCCCAACCAAATAAAAGGTCCTGCTTCCCTTTGTTTGGGGACGCCATGACTTTGGAAATGATTCCTCGTGGCCTCCTATTTGCCGCAAATACACTTTACTCTGTGAGACAGCTTCCACCTGTGTAGAGTCTTATTTAACTCACCAGGAGGCGAGCCCACTTGGTTCGGTCTCAGCTTCATCCACTCTGCCCCACCCTGCCCCACATTCACCAACCCTCTGCGCCCTGTCTGTCATTCCCCCTCCTTCACGTGCTGTTGATTCTGCCCCTTCTCTCCACCTCCACAGCTTCCTCGCAGGTCCAGGCCACCATTCTCACCTGGGATATTGCCACAGCCTCCTCGCTCTCCTCCAATCCACTCTCCATGCTGCAGCCACAGGGGACACTTCCAAAACACGGACGCTAACGGTTTTTCTTGCTTAAAACCCTCCAACAGTTTCCTACTGCCCTTAGAACCAGGTCTAAGAGTCTCACCTTCACAGCGCACACGGCCCCACGTGAGCTGGCTGCCGGCCCCCTCTGGCCTTGTCTCACCAATCCCCCTCCCGTGTTCCAGCTGCACTGCACTCACTCTTAACACACTGTCCCCTTTGCACACCAACATCTCTTCATCCTCCAGGCCTCAGGATTACCATGTCCCACTGTCCCACTCCTATACCCCAAAGACCAGCTTCCCCTGCATCAGCCCACTGATCCCCAGTCAAACACCAGTCGCTCTTCGGAGTTACCGCTCATCTGGCGGCCTGTCTTCCCCAGGCACTCAGCTGGGTGCAGGCCAGGACCATGTGTGACTTGCTCTCCACTCAGGACACTGCAGAGGCTTGCTAGGCATTGTCTGGTGAATGAGCACGTGTGTTCCTCTATGATTTTATGAAATATTCACACATTCCTAAGGGCAGTCCAACATTCCACTGATTGACTATATCGGAAACGATTTTCCTACTATCAGCGAGTTGTCAGCTTTCTGTTATACATAATCTACAGTGAAAACAGAAGGCTCTTTTCTTTTTTTTTCCTTTTTGTTGTTATATATTTGGGAGAGATTTTCAGGAATGGAATTACAGAGTCAAAGGGTATAAACTCATTCAAGGACCTTGACTTATATCACCAAAGTGAGCAAGCCCCTCTACCCTTCAGCATATCCCTCGCAGCACGCTGAGAGCGGGTCACTGCCTCCACTCAGCTCCGGGAAGCTGGAATCCCCCAGGTGGTGACCTCCAGCTCTTAGCAGCCTCCAGTCCCCGAGCTGGTCCCCTCCAACCTGAGGCAGCTTCATCCATTACCCCGTGCTCTGTACAAGCATCATCATTTCCTGTGTGGCCTACAACCTGATAAGAGTTGGGAGGTGCTGCCACACAGCCCTAGTGTGACTGCATGGAAAAGAACAGCCCTGGCGGCCAGGCACATGTGGTTCACACCTGGCTCCTTCACTTGAAGGCCCACTGCAGGCCAGTGGGCAAGCCAGAAACTCCTTCATCCTTGACTCCCCCTAAAGCAAATGAGCCTGTCTCCAAGATTTCTCTCAAGTCCACCCCTCCTTTCTGGCCCTTACTGCCTCAACCTTGGCTTAGCCCTCAGTACTACCTGCTACATTACAGTAGCCCACGGGTTCCGAAATTTAAGCTAGCATCCGAATCACTTGGAGAACTTGTCAAAACACTGACTGTGGGGCCTCACACCCCAGAATTTCTGACTCAGGAAGTCTGGGGTGTGGGCAAATAACCTGTATTTCTAACAAGTTCCCAGCTGATGCTGATGCCGCTGGTCCAGGGACCACATTGGGAAAACCACTGCGGGAGCTCACGGTTCACCCACTCTGATTTAGACCATAAACTCCATGTGGGCAGTAACCGTGTCTATTTTTTTCCAAGTTGTATCCACAGCATCCAGCACGGTGCCTGCATGCAGTGGACACTCAATAAGTGCCTACCAATGAATGATCTGAATGACTCTTGATCCCTCTCTGTCCAGTCTCCATATTACAGCTAAAAAGATAGTTGATCCAATCACTCCCCTGCTTATAACCCATTAATGGCTCTCCATCACAATTCTCTCAAAACAGTACTAAAGTCTCTTCATATTTTGATTCCAACACACCTCTTCCAGCTTCTTATCCTAACACTCCCCAAACACGCCCCAAATTGCTCATCATTCCCTGAACAGACCAACTTCCCTGCAGCAACCCCAATTCATCACTCAAGGCTCACTTAATGCAAGAAGCCTTCTCCAACCCCCCAAACAGAGACAGTCACTTCCTCCTCTGTGCTCCCACTGTACACACCTCTCTATGGTTTACTGTACTGGAATAATTTTCAACGTTTTTGAGAAACTGCTGTGTGAACAGTTTCATGTCCTATTCCTCCATTAAACTATGAGTTCATGAGGTTTCCTACATTTTTAGATTTTAGGGCCCAGCACAATGTCTAATATTGAGGCTATTATTAATAATGTTTGTTGATCAAATTTATTAGTAAACGAAGAGTGAAGTGAGGGGTGTAATGGGATAATTATGTGCATAATTAAAATAAGAGCCTTAAGCCCTCTGCCCCAATTCCAAATGTGTGCCTGTCCTCAGACCCCTCAGCTTACACACACAGAGGAATAATGACTATTATCTCAATTTTTCAAGGTTATTCACAGACAATACCTTGAAAGCAATATAGTAACTACTGTGTCCTGCTCCTCAGACTCTGGCAAAGAGCCTCAGAGTCATTCAATCATTCAACAGATTTTTACAGAGCCCCTGCTCCGGCCTTCCCATACAGGCCTTTTTCAAGGTTCTTTGACACAATGGCCGGCAGTCCCATCAGGAAAGCTGTGTCTAAAGCGCTTACAACAGTGCCTGGTATACAGTAAGTGCCATAAAGTGCTTGCTATTATTATTATTATGCCCAACTTACAGAGGAGGGAGGCTCAGAGACGTGAGGTCACTTATGACAAGTGACACCGCAGGGATGAACGCAGGGCCACACATGGAAGGCAAGGTCCCCGCGTCCAATTCCCAGGAAGTTTCCATCACGGACCGCGCTGCATAAAACAGCAAAGGAACCCCAGAGCTGGTTCTGAGAACCGGCTCGGCCTCCACTGGCCGGGGGACCCCGGTGAAATGACTCCTCTTCCCGACCTCAGTTTTCCCATACGTAAACCGGGAAGGTCGGCTCAGCCACCAGGCGATGCCTGAGGGCCTTTCCAGGGCTGGCACTTCTAGGAACACCGTGACACTCACAACGACCCGCGGCAGACGCGGGAGGAAGTCCTCCCTAGTTTTACCACCGAGAAAACTGTTATCCAAGAGTTTCTGTGATTGTGACCCGCCGCAATTCAAGGACGGGACGCACGTGGGAAAGCGGACACCAGGGTCCTAGGGCTCCGCACCCAGCGCCGAGCCGCCCGCCCATCAGTCCCTCCGCCCTCGCCATCACCCACGCTCACCAACTACAGTCCCCGGCAACGCGGGCCCCGCGACCGCCGCGCCGGGCCAGCGCGCCGGCGCCAGGGGCGTGCCCTCCCCGAGCCCCGCCCCCTGTCCTTCTCGCCAATCACAAAGCCGCACTCGCAGGAACTGGCCCCACCCCCCTCCAGCCGCGAGTGAGAGGCTTTCCGGAAGCTTAGCGGAGGAGAGGGAATCCGGCTCTCCCCAGGCTCGTAGATTGGCCTGGGCAGCAACGAGTGCATCACCGTCCCGGAAGTGCGCTCTAGGATTTAGGGAGGTGTAACTCTATGGTCAAAGCCTGGGCTCTTGAGTCTCGCGTGCCTTCTCACTGCCGGGGCCCGCCCAACCCTCCGGAGACTGGAACGGCTGGAGATAATGTAAGCGTGATAACAGTGGGCAGTGCAGGTTCGAATCTACCGTATTTTACAGGCTTTCGATTTTAATAACTTTAAAATTTTTAAGAAGTTGGGAAAAGGCACCTTTATTACAAAGGCCAAGACAGTCTTTAAGACGCTGAATCAAACTTTTCATTCACAAAATATTTTTTGAGCAGTTACCACGTACCGGCCACTGTTGTAAAAAACTGGGAACAGTGAACAAAACAAACG